ACGAGTTATGACTAGTATAAAATAAAACACCCGTGAGTTTCAATTTTTATCTCACACATATTTTCCTCCCAAAATTATCTCATCACCCAATTCTATCACATATTTAATTATTTAATATTTAATAATTTATAATTTAACATAATTATTGTTTCGTACATTGTTCACACACGATAATATATGCGTGTTGAAAAAATTTTGTCGAGTTATATATTTTTGAGAAAATTTTGATGTTTTTTTTAAGAAAATTAATTTTAAATAATGTAATCAAATAAATGAAGAAATAAAAAATTATTATTTCATATAGTAGGATTAATTTTTAAACGGTCAAATTTTATATTTTATCGTACCTTCAATCTTATATTATAACTAATGCATATATAGATAATAAGGGGAAGTTAAACTAGCGGTGGCTACTGTCCAGTCGTGTTCGAATTACCTACGTGTTAGTTTGGATTTATGTTGAATATTAATCGACTCTAATTTAACCGATTTAATTTTTGTTCAAAAAAAATGTAACCTATTTAATTATTTGTATTACATGTTTTGACATTAATTTGATTGATAAAAAATTCTAAAATTAAAACTATTATTTTTCAACCAAACTCACTCATAATTTTTGCATAAATTCAAAATTTATTAACGTAGGGAAGACGAGTTAAAAAATCTTCTTATTAAAAGTAATAAATATTTAGTATTATATTCATACAATATTAGTTAAATGTTATACCCATGTTAATTTTAAATTATTCGTATTTGACATTAACTAATAATTTTGGGTTATAGAGTGCCCATTAGAATTATTTAAAATATTTCACTCACTATTTCAAAATTTTATCAGTAATACTCTCTATTTAAAAAAAAAAATTTATCTCCAAAATGGAGAGTACCAGTACCGATGCTCTTAACAGCCCAGGGATCACACTTCGGTTAGTAAGTGAACACGAACCCATTATCCAAAAAAAGAAAAAATTGCATTTGACCCCAGGCTTCTAAAAAAAATACTCATTTTTTTTTTCTGAAAAAAAAATAAAAAAGAGAAAAAAAGACAGAACAAACAACCTTCAAGGTAAGGCAACTAAAATGAAGGAAGAAACCTTAAAATAAATAAACCAGACCACCAAATAGCTTTAACAAGCAACGCCTTTTCCTATAAAGAAAAACATAACAAGCAACCAAGCCTATTAACACATTTCAGATGAGCCTCCCTCATGCCGTCGGATCAACGGAGAGAACCAACACAGACAATATTGTCTAGCAATTGTCAAAGATACGACACAGACCTTTCTGATTACAAATATCAACAGAGATTCACATAATGTTAACAACCAAACACTCTGCCTATAAAGAAAAACAAAACAAGCAACCAAGCCTATAAACACTTATTTCAGATCGCCTCCATCATGCTGTAATAGCAGAGAGACATGTTCCGTTGACACTTTTTTCATTTGTTTCACCGGTCAGGCCACGAAGAGCCAACACAGGCTATATTGTCTGATAATAGTCAAGGATGGTTTTACCTCGAACACAAACAAGATTTATAACATGCTTCATAAGCAGCTTTCGACCTCCTTTCTCAAACTCCTGTGAATTTCCGGTTGGCCACACCAATTTATCGCAAAACAAAAAGGCTTTTCTGATAAGACATATCACCCGAGGACATTACCAGATAATGAACGGACAACACACAAATTGAGCTGGAATTCCGAAGTGCCTTGAATCAAAATAAACAGGCATTTCTACATTACCACTCGCAAATGAATGAAGTATTACAGCTAAAACCAAAAATTGTTTGACTTCTCATCCACAAATATATACACTTGGCTGAAGAGCACCCCATAAATTGCACTTCCCATCAGTGTTATAACACCTATAAACAAATATGTTGACTTCACAAAACCGAGAGAGATTGGTGGGGGAGGGGGAGGGAGAGGGGGAGGGGAAGATGGGAGTAACTTCACAAAACCTAGCTCACCCGCTTCCTATAGCTATGAATCTAATGTAATAAACATACAATAATTTAAATCATATTCAGATTTTCTTCCTACAAAATTTCTGATTCAAAATATCATGGCAGCATTCCCTTCATTCTATAGCAAGAGCACTAACTAGACTAACCTTATAAACTCCTTATGCTTGATTTGCCTTTGTACCTGTTCTTTGAATAAGTGCCAGGGGAAGATACCCGAAGCTTTCCATCTTTCGTAATTGGTGTTCCCAATGTGTATGGTTAATATTCCAAAGCAAAGACACATCTCAGCTCTCTCTAACGGAAATATCTGTGATAGCTGTTTTCAACCTTTTTCCATCTGATAAACTGCTCGATTTCTCTTCTCGATCTTCATCCACAAAGTTCTGACCTGAAACTTCTGCAGGAACCCACCCCAGTAATTTTAATATATTGATGAGAAAAGGCAAATCAAGAAAATTTACTAGTGTATTCAAGTAACAAGACCAGCATACTCCATTGCAACAACTTGAGAACTTGGGGTATTCAAAAAATATACAAATTCTAGCTACCTATCACACATGCGCAATTACTCAGACACTTGCACAAAAGCTACATCCTTAATCTCAGTCAGCCATATTCACCATTTTGTAAGGGAGTAATTGGTGGTGTTACCAAAACATGAACATGAACATATGATACACATGTATTGCAGCATTCCATACGAATTTCTGGAAAGGTTGGTAGGTTGAACAAAAAGAATTGAAGATATTAGACTCACTTAAGAATGGAGAAAAGGGAAAAAAAAAACAGATCCATGCACATACACACACAAACATGTTCTCTCAATGGCAGGATTCAAATATCCAACAATAAGATCCATACAACTTTTCACAGGAAGACTTAATTGTAGGCAAGGATAGCTGTTTTTTTTTATATCAAACACAAGCATACTTAAGTTGTTCATTTTTGGAAAATTAGAGTAGCTGTGTTACATCACATGCAAGCAGGAGGGAAGAGGAGGAGGAGGAGGAGAGGATGAGAAGCCACCTCCAGCTTAAATGAGATGACTGGTTTGCAGCTGAGATAGTAACAATACAGTGTACATTTTCTTTTTGCACGATTTGACAAACTAATTTTTCTTTTACTATCCTCTATCGAAATAGGACCAGAATAGTGGAAATTTTTTTTTCCCGTGATTTAACATCACGAATCTCACTTCATCTCATTTTTTCTATCCCCTATACCAAAGAAAATAAATGGATGCCTGTGTCTCTACTGTGTGTGCATGCCTGCATGGGTGTGCACAAGAAGCCTAGTCAAATGTGTGTGCAGGCATGGTCATCTATGCACTTGAATGCCTAACCAGCGATGTAAAAGAAAGCACAAAAGGCTTTGAAAAGAAAAACTATGAGCAAACTAACAACAGAAGAATCTGCCAATTATAATGTTCAGATCATAATCACCTGTAATACTGCCAACTGAATAATGATGGCACAGGTAGTTTACAGGACTCCGCTCCATATTTGATGCTAATCTATGGGAGAAAGTCCTCTTTCCTTTCAAATCCACTCTCCCCCCATGAAGTGTACTGTGTTGTTGATGATCAGCTGATGTTACAGTGCAGCGGTTACCTGCATATCTGAAATGATATCTCCGTGGACTTCTAAAAACATTAGAATCAGCTGCAATGTTTAAAAGTGGTTGATTCTTTTCAAAGTTAATCTTCTTCCAACAGCCATCTTGTAGAACTGTGAACTGGCAAAAGAGCAAAAAAAATTGGGGACAATTAAATCAAGGAAACAAAAATAAGCAAGTTTACTAGTATCATTCATATGGATGAAATGCATCTGCAACAAGACAATGACATAGTGGTGGAAAAAGCACACTTAAGGAATTCAATGAATAATGTGACTGACCTGCTCAGAAGAATTGTTGGAGTTCACAGGCAATCTTCGAGATGAATTTGGATCCCACTTATTCTGTTCTGAGCTCCTAGCAAGCAAACCCATCGACCGGTTTAATTGCCCAACAAAAGATGCTTCCAATTGATCAAGGTATAAATTGTGCTTCTCATTTGTCCATGCCGTGCACTTACCCTGGTATGAAATGGGTACATAAACGATATGATAAATAAAAAAAATTAAAGGAAGATGTGATGTTAAACTGGTACAAAAACATGAGAAAATACGATGAAGAAACTTGCAATTCAAGTAAGAGTTGAGGAATCCTGTTATTTTGGATTATCCATCTTCCTTGATAGTGTTTTATATAGTTTCCATACTTCATGGGCAAGGTTTGTTTTCTTGCCTTGACATGTGATACCTCCAAAGGACTCTAACAGCTAGGGGCTAAACCACTGTGGCCTCCAGGAAAGTTGACAAACAGTAACATTTAAAACATCTTTGAAGGAACTTGAAAACTTTCAGAAAAAATTTGGAGGTTACCACCATAGAGAATACAAGAACCCAAATGCCAGCCCAAAATAATTTGCATGAACTCCTAAATAAAATGGGATATGGATGAGGAAATTAACAACAGGAGGAAACTTAGCAAATCCAAATTCAACGAAAAGCCACACACCCATTTGCAAAGGGATTAAAAAGATTAAAATTCTATGAATGTTAATCTTCACGAACCATATTAAAATCGAAATAACACAATCTGAATCCAGATACAATTTTCAATCATTGTGTCCAAATCATTACCAAGTAATTCAGAATACTATTTCTACCAAATAATGAATGCACATGTGAAACCTCCACACTAAATAAAGTTACAACTGCCAAACAATTCTATTGATTTATAATTAACTCCCCCTCTACATCCTACATCATTCCTAACTTCCCAATCCATAAGAAAGGAATACGATCTAAATTATATGGATAGTGGAAATTTTCTCAATGAAGATCACATCTCCAAAGTCCGAACCACATCCAGACTCCAGTATGTAAAGCTGTGAAACGCACTTAGAGCCTTCTATGTCCTAAACTACAATCTTCAAAAGTAGTATTAAAATGAAAAGAAGAAGAAGCAAATTACATCTGATGGAATCATCACGGGGCCCTGCATCTATAGAATTACATTACATGATGAGTGTGCCCACAAGGCCAGATTGGTTCTCTAATTCGAAGATTGTGCACAACTTATCACAGCTATACCAAGGAAACAATAAGAACTGCATGTGTTTATACATGTGTATATGATATATAGGAGGGATAAATCAAAACATATCAAAAGAGAAAAGAAGCCAAAAAAAAATCACCTCTATCTGGTGAAATGCATTTCTTAAATTATGAACACTTCTACAATTCCTCGGAAATGTGTTCAAGTCTTCAAGAGCGTCTGCCCAACAAGTGTCTGACATGTACACATCCACTTTTTATATGACAACACGCTATACTTGATACAAATTGATTGTGTTCATGGCAAAGCAACAGATCATGTCTGATTTAGAAGCTTCCTCTCACTATCACCAGCCTGACTGTTGCAAGCTAACCACCAAAACGTTTTTCCTCATCCACACTTAATCCCTCATCCCTCCATTCCTACCTGCCACCCAAAACCCCTCAATCCTTCAAAGAAAAAAAACCTTTCATGGGCAAGCAAATGACAATTGGCTTCACCTCTTAACAATCTCACAATAATATTTAATTTTAAGAGCTTTCAACCTCAGATCACTTCCCTTGCCCATGTTATGTCGGATCATGGATGCTACTCCATTGAGCAAAACATATTTCTCATTCTTTTTCACTCAAGTAAGAAGTATCAAAGCTCCTCACATTAGTGCGACCCAGTGATAACCACACCTCTCTCTCTCTCCCTCTAGAGTCACAAAAGAAACATATTATGTTTCCATCGCCAAAATCAAAACAACAACAAAAATAACAAACGTCTTCTATAGAATCATATTCATAATCTTTATATACACACATCCTTATACATAGAAAATAGAACAGACAGATCAAAATCAAACATATACAAATTTTAAAGCAACACAAGAATTACCGGGTTTGCATTGACATTCTTGTGAAACACATCTTTCGAATTCTCAGCTGCCAAAGACGATGCGTCTGAGTTCGACCGACTCAAGTCATTACCACAATTCTCCGTCCGAGTTCGATCCGGAGATGACTTTCGCCGGAGATTTTCTCCCATTTTACAGTTTCAGACAAATGCAAACACGGTCTCCAAATTTGGAGAAAATTCCCTAAATTTAGCAGAGAAACCCTCAAGGAAGAGAAGAGAAGGTCATGGAGAGAGAGAGAGAGAGAGAGAATGGCGGTGTATATGGCGTGGATTGGGGGGCCAGTAAAGGGTCCCACATGGCGACGCTTTTAGACGTGTCAAGTAAAATCAGATGGGTGCCACGTCAGCAACGATGATAATATCTTGGCTAACGTGAGCCAGATATTTTTTTGAGAAAATGAGAGCTTTTGGACTTTGGCACCATGATAATTGTGCTCCAGCTCCACGTATCTGAATGTGTGAAGCCAAAGTTGGGTAAATTATACTTTGTGCCCTCAATTATAAAATTTTTTATATTATACTTTAAAATATCAATTTTATTTCATATCACTTCAATTAATAACGAATGTTAAATTTTTAACGATAAATTGGCATGTGAGTGACCTATATTACCAATAAATAACTGTTTATTACCCACGTACATGTCAAAAATTAAGAAAAATACATATCCATGAATTTGCCCTTCATAAGCTCCAATTTTTTTTCCTCTAGCATACCTTTTTTTTTTCTTCTCATCAATTATTTGATTGCAAAAAAAGTAAAATAAAGTGATATTAGACATTTGGCAGGATGTATTTAGTCTGCAGTACCTCAAAAAGATCAGTACTTATTGACGTATGTCGCTTATTTACATATTGGTCAAACTAGACATCAAAAGTGTAATCTAGTCCTATGCTCCGCCTTCCTCCGCAACAACAAGAAAGAGTTCTTCCTTCTGCTTATGATTTTGTCCTCTTTTTAATACGAAGTATTGCTCTATTAATTTGAGCACTTTTAATCAAACTTGAATTTTGGAACTACATGATGGCCCCAGTCTCACTGAAAAGGGAGAATTACTTTAAGGAACAATGAGAAGCCACACTAGCAAGACCACGTTTAGTATTTCAACTTTTTTTTGGAGGGTTGGAACCTTTACTCAATAAAAATAAAATGGTACTAAACATTTAACAGAAAACTCTTTGGGGTTTATCTCCTTCCTTTGAAAGATTTCAAGTTTGTCATTAATAAAATTAATATATTAAGGTATAATGTGAAAAATTTTACAGTTAAGAGTCCAAAGTGAAATAAGAATAATAATTCAACATATAAAGTGTAATTCACTCGCCAAAGTACCATATTATATCATATTGTACGATATCATATTATACCATCGTTGTTGTATTGTGTAATCAATTAATAATAAAATATTAAATAAAATTAATAAATTATATTATTCGTAGAGGTGTAACTTGAACAGGTTGAAAAATTAATCCTAGATATAAAATTTTCAACTCTAACTTGACATCAACTCAATCTAGTTGAGTTCGTGGACCCAAGCTCTTAATCCGAGTCTTACCTGAATTCAATTCGGGTTGAAACTTTTCAATCCTAACCCTACAAACTTCAACCCTAATACTATTTTTTTGAGTTGGGTTCAGATTGACCGGCCCAAGCTGCACTTCTAACTATTCTAACACAATATGCATTAGATAAGATGATTAGTGATAGTTATCCTTTAACTAATTGGTAATACAACATGTCATATATTTGGGTGTAAACACATTTATAACATAATGTCACCGTTACATTAAATATTTTTTTTCAAAATGGTGAGGGTGGGATAGTTTGCTCTCAAAATCAAACTCGTCCAATATTGTTTTTCATAGATTATAACAAATTATGGACTCATTTATATATAAATTGTCACACTTAAATTCGAAATAAACAATTTAAATCCTAGAAGTGACGAATAAAATAAGAAAGAGTTTTCCTTTGCTTAATGTTCAAATTTTCTTAGGATTTTATCTATTTCATGCGTCTAAATTGGAAAAAAAAAGTTTACAAAACTAAAAAAAATTAATCAAATATCAAGTGATAAATAGAAAAGAGAAAGAGAATGATTTGACAATAAAGTGTTGCTCGCCTTTTCTCGACCATTAGTGTCTTATTTAATGGTTGGCTATCTTAAGTACTTCTCTTTACCCTCTCCCTTAAAAATTCAAAGGTTACTTTTGAATGCTATCGTGACATTTTGATTTTAAAAGTTTACAAGATATGGAGTTTATAGGCAAAAATCCCTCCAATTCAATAAGTATTTAACATATTGTGGCCGCCATTCATGTTAGTCGGTAGATGCAACATGGATGCCCCTAGCTTACACCAAAGTGAAATATTCCTTCTCCATGTGCCAAAACGAATTAAGGCATATCAACCCAACCTTGCCCATTTTCAAAGTATTATGTAGCTTTTTGGTATTATACCACTCTATTTTTTCGTTTTATTACATTATTATTTTATTTTATTTATTATTTATACAATCAATAATTATAAATAAGTTAGATCAAGGTACGTAGTTAAAAACCATTTTTGGTAATTATATATAAACTTATGATTTTGTGTTTAGTATGTCTTTACAGACAATTTTTTTTTTAAAAAAAAAAAAATCTTAAAGGTAATTCATGTGATAATAGGAAAGAACTCTAAATTCAAATATAATGGATTTATTCCTCATATTGGCAACTTCTTCGGATCAGAGTATGAGAGATTTATTCTTCATAACTATTCTAGTTCTAGAATGGATGACTTGTCTTTGACCGATCTAAAGAGGATTAACTGATATATAAATAAATTAATACAAATACTCCTAACCATTAAAAAAAAACAAACATCCCTCAGAGGCGGATTGTTCAGTGCAACACTTTACAGAGGAAACAGTGTGTTTGTTTTCAGTGGTTGAATACTAGAGATATTTTCTTATGTTGACCCATTGTCTTTTACTTCGTCTGGAAGGCAATGTTTTTTCTTCATCTGCACCAGAGGTCAGCTTCTGGATGATGTTAGTCGACACATTAGATATTTGGGTGTATACCTAATTAAATATGCACAACCTGCTTTTGACAAAAGAGATTAAATTATTGAAAGTGTAAGTGATACAGTTTTTATCTTTTAAGTAATGAATCATTCATTTTCTCATTTGTGTTTGGTATGAGGGATGGAAAGTAGGAATAATTTATTTTTTTTGTATTTAGTATGATGAAAAAGTAGAATAATAGAAAAAATATAGAGACATATTTTATCATTATATCTATATATAAAATTAATATATATATATATATATATATATATATATATATATATTAAATATATATAATTAATATTTCATCCACATTTTCTCCCAATTTTGGAGAAATTGATTTTATTAAATTATAAGAAAACTTAATCCATCCATTTTTTTTCATCATTCCTATTTTTTTTATTTACCAAATATGATGTTTTATCTACGCCTCTAGTTTTTCATCCTTCAATTTTTTTATCGTCCCAACCAAAGCATTAATAAATTTATTGGAAAGGAGAGACAAGTTCAAGTGCCTCAAGCTTGTTCTGTATAGAACACATCCAAGGGAAAGTATACGGTACCAAAAAAAAAATTGGTACCATACTAAAAATTATAATTTTTATAATAAATTACACATTTGAAAATAAAAATTATAACTGATCAAAGAAAATTCATGATCAATGACAAATACCTATGATCGATCATAAGCTTCCTTGAATTAGTTGTAACTTCTTTTATATGAATTGTAACTTGATCTTTAAAATTAGTAATTTATCATTTGAAAGTTATAACTTCTATGACCCGATCATGTTTTTTATAAGTTGTAATTTACATATTAAAAAATTATAATTTAAATTTAAAAAATTATAATTTTTGATACGATACAATCAACGGTACCATATTCCGCCACCCAATCATATTACTGTATGGAACCCGCCTTAACTGTTTCTAACAATATATTATAGGCTTGGTACATTGACAAAGCACTTCTCTAAATTCACCATCTCATTCTCTTTGAATGCATTACATATTGTTGGACGATTGGACTTTCGATTCTTCTAAAAGCCTTTTCCAAAATTGGATTATACCCATTAGCTAGCCATGTAAGCTAAGCTAAGTTTCATTACCTCCACTTCTTGCTGAGTTATCCAGTGAATTACGTAACGAACCCTTGCATAAACACTCAATGAGATTGGGTTTTTGACTCGAACTCATGATCCGAATCCTTGTTAGAGAGGCTTAAATACAAGGATTAATTACAGATTGTAACTTGAAAGATTATTTGAATTTTAATTTGTACCTTTAAAGATAAAAAATCTCAATTTATACCCTCAAAGATATAAATTTGAGGAGTGTTCAAATTTTCAATTGACCGCAATTTCCAACTCTACCCGACCCTACTGAACAGCTAACAACAAAAATCGGGTAGGAATGCGGAAGAGATTTTGGTCTTTCTATTAAATCGGGTAGGAATGCGAAATACCCATCAATTTTCACATTCCTATCTTAACCTACTCGCAAAAAATATATTTAAATTTTTTATATGGTTTTTAGTAATTATAAGAGTATTTGTGTGATATAATTTATATTATAGTATTGCTATTGTTGTAAATGTTTGAGTTACGAAAACATGGATTTGTTTTTTGTATAGGTTACATGATTTGTGGTGAATTGATTATCTATTGGAGCAGTTATGATTTTAATGTGTTTTATATAGTTTAAACTTAAAATAATTGTTATTGTATTTGTATAATAATAATGATTGATTGATGTTTCTGTTTTTTTTATGTTTTATTGTAATTATTGTTATAGTTGTTTTATATTTTAGTGTTATTGATTTATTGTATTGTTAAATTGATGCATATTATTTAATTGAATTGTTAAAATGATCAAAAAATTAATAGCTACAAAAGTGTTTACCTGACTTCTTACCCGATTAATCGGGTAGATAATCGGGTAGGAATACCACACCTGATCAGGTAGGGTAGGCAAAAAAAAAATTCTTCCGCAAAATATCAGGTAAGAAGACAAATGACTAGTGAACACCCCATAAATTTGTATCAATGTGCACCCCTGAAGATCAAAAATCTCAATTTGTACCCTCAAAAATAGAAATTTATATCAATGTGCACCTAAAACTAAATTGATAAATTATAATTAGATCCCTTCATACTTGTCACTTAATCATTTTGATCCCTTCACATTTAGAATATTATTCCTACATCTTATGACATTTGTACACGTATAACACGTAACTCATTTTTTTTGATATCAGTTAATATAACCATTAAAAATTATAATTTTATCCTAATAAAAAATATAATTTTATCCTAATAAAAAATTATAATATCATATTATCCTTTATTTTGTGGATCCAATATACTTTACAGTTCAAAATCAAGCTTATCAATTTGAATGTCCAATAGAATGTAGGTATTTATATAATATTTTTTACATCCAATGCAATATATCAGTCAATCTGCAACTCTTTATTCTATTGAACATTGAAATGGTAAACTTGATTTTAAATTTAATTTTAAAGTTAATATGACGGTTAATATTAAAACTCTAAATTTAATAGGAAAAATAGGTCTTTAAGAGTGTGTTTGGAGTGACTTTTTAAAAGTGTTTTTAAGAATTATTTATCATAAGTATTTTTTAAAAAAATAGTATTTAGAACTGTCTCACCACCACCATTATTGTCGCCGCCACCCTACCACCACCATCATCGCCATCTCACCACCACTTCTTCCACACAACTACCACCACCACCGTTGCCGCCACATTACTACCACCGTTACTGTCCCATCATCACCCCTATTACCACCAACAACCCCCACCGCCCCACAACCACCATCACCATTGTCATTCACGATTGTCGTCACTCATCACAACTATTATTATCTTTCATCACCACCACTATCATCACTCGCCCCAATACAATCGGTGTTTAAATTTCTTTCTTTTTGCTCTATCTTTGTAATTTGATTTTAAGTGTGAATACAAATATGTTTAGTATTGACTATTTTTTTTATTATTCTATACCTTCAAACACGAAAAATAACTAATAAATAAATATAATATATGTATATATTAAAAGATAAATAGGTAAATAACATACATTTCAACACACAAAATTAATTTTTTATTTATTTTTTTTCCTGATTTTGGAGGAATTAATTTTTGTGAGTCGAAAGAAAAACTAATCCATCGACTTTTCCATCATTGTGATTTTCTTCCTTATCAAATATGATATTTTTAACTATTCCTCTAACTTTAAAAAAAAAAAAAAAAAATTCATCCTTCTATTTTTCATCGTAATAAAGAAAGCATTAATATTTTTCCACCTTGTCCTTCAATTTCTTTTCCTTTGTCTTCGGATATCCATTGACGTGTAAATTTGATATCTTTGTATGGATTTGGATATCCCTTTGGCATATTTTTTCATACAATGATATCAAATCACGCCAACTCCCCCATTTTTAAATATCTTTTTTACTGTATTATTGTGTAAAACTTAAAAATAAAAATAAAAAAGTGTATTGCAAACAATTCAAATCTCTTTCATGTGAAGGAATTGAATCAAGGTTTCCCCCATGTGGTGGTGGTGATGAAGATTTGGGTAATCTTATTGATTAGGAATTTAATCTCATTTAAAAATCTTTCTATTTCAATTTTACGTGTAAAATAAATTCATGGGAACATTGCTAGGGCTATTAATAAAATATAATTGATTCATAGAATGGTCCTTAAATAATAATAATAATAATTAATTAACGCCGACAGCTGCTTGGCCGGCAATATAGAACACAAAGAAACAGGAGAAATTTAGTGACGGCTTTAGCGTGCAGTATTAATCACCATCAATTATAATGAAGATTAGTGGCTGCTATTTTGAGAAAGAAATTATATACACGTAATGGAAGTGATTGGTCTGTGCTTTCATCAGAATATTCTTACCTTAGAAGAATATTCTTAACTTCAAAATACCCAAGTTTGATTCTTGGTGCACAAGTCACAATCTAGGCACAACCTCAAGAAGGTTCCAGGAAGAAAGTACTTTCTTATAATTTTTTTTTTTTTTCGGAAATGTCGAAAATATTGTATAAAAAAATTATAATTTCTTAAGGTTAAGTTATAACTTTTTTAAAGTTTAAATTATAATTTTAAAGAGTATGATCAATCATAGAAAGATAAAATTGATACCGAGAGTTTATGATTGATTGTGACTTTCTCTTGAGTAATTGTAACTTATTATTTTAAATTTGTAATTATATCATAAACTTATCCTTGAGTTATATTGAATTCATAAATATACTTATAATCAACTGTCAATTATAAGTATCAATTAAATCAAAATATACTAGCAAAAGTCGAACTGATGTTTTAATATATTCTTTTTGAATTTCTTTTTTTTTTTTTTTAACAATTTGCTCCAAAAGCCCTAGCTATTTCTTTCTTTTTTTTTAAAGGTATTTTTATTTATTTACACAAATATAAACAATTGTACCTTATTAGCAAAAATATATAACTTTTTGTGTATGTTTAACAAATCTTAAAGCTGATCTCAAAAAAAAAAAAACAAGTCTTAAGGCTCATGAAGACAAAGTGTTCCGACTCCGCAAATGCATAGAAAAATTTTCATAAAAATTTTTATAAATATTTCATTCTTATTTCCGAAGCAACTTCACTCTTGCTAACCAATCAAAGATGTTGATTATATGAGAGAGAGAAGGGTATATATATATACATATAGGATTGTAATATAAGTAGAATAAATATGGCCAAAATAATCAAAACAATAGCAAAATCCATACACAAAGTAATCAGAGTTAGTCTGTGGTTCCGAAGAAAGTATCATACCCAAAAATATATAATATTTGAAAGTTTAATTATAATTTTTAAAAGTTTAATTAATTTTTTTAAAATTATTTATAATCAATACCAAATAGCCTAAAAAATTTATAAGTTAACCTTCTCTGCAAAAAAATAATTTTTAGTACAGTTTAAAAAAAATCACTTTTTAGATTTACCCGAAGGTTAAAAATTGAGTTGAGTTTTGGAAGCTCTAACCTAGTTAGTTGATCTAATTTTTCTAAAGGAATAGGTGGACTATTTTACATATGAATGAATGAATCGAAGTTTGCGAGCCAAAACTTATCTAAACAAGTTAAAAAAAATTGTTCAATTACGACATAAAGAGCTGCAATTTAATCCAATCACTAGAACAACAAGAATAAGATCCAAGAATAATTCTATTTACAAAACAATTAAAAGTTCAAGCAAAGAAGAAGGTGAAGAAGAAGAAACCTCTAATTCTAGATAACTAAATTGAATGAAATTGTGATCTTCCTTCGGATCAAGATTATCTTGGCGAAGATTGTCGCACAGAACAAGCCACCACCTGTGCCCACTGCTTCAATTTCGTCTTCATCTTATTCGGATCATCACCTTCAATCAATTCAAAGTTAGGAAAAAATGGTAATTCTAATAAATAATTGAAAAAAAAAATTACAATTCAGAAGGTGGGGTTTTACCTGGGTCGAGAATAGAGCTAGGGCTTGCAACAAACGACGACGTCGTTTCGGAGTCCAAACTCATCGTCGACGACAAAGACGAAGACCTAGACAATCGATCACTGTACTGTCTATTAACAGCACAAAAGAATTCCAAAGCCGGAAAGGCCTGCGACAATTTCGGATCTATGCGATCCGGAGAATCAAACCCAAACCCTAACTCGAAACATGCCTTGAGTTCATCTAAGTCCTCGTCCGTAACGCTCTTGCTGCGGCCGCTTCTCAGGCGATGACTGCTCTTCCGCTTTAACCACGCCTCCTCGCGGTGGCTGTCAGGAGACCATGACTTCTGCTTGTACAGTGGTGCCGGAGGCACCCGTGGAGCTTTGGGATCTGCCATGGGCCCACCACTACCGTGTAGACGCTGTTGTTCTAACTTCAACGGCGGAGGTTTGGGGTTTTGGAATTTCTTCTGCGGCGGGAGTTGTGGGATATTTAAAGAGGAGGGGTGGGTGGGGCTTTGCTGAGGTGGGTCTCGTTAGGTCTGACCAGGATTGGTGGGACCAGGAGGAATCCTTGTGAGTGATTGGTGGGAAGGTCGGCCCCAGTTTTGGTTCATCTAGGTGGGGTCCATGTTCATCAGGACGAGTGAAACACTCCTAATCCTAGCTGTATTTTGTAACATAGTATTGTATCTAAAAATTATGGGAATAGCCATCCATTGTGTGGAGAATTTTATTTATCGAGGTTATTCAAATTCAACCAGTGAGTTCAAAAAAAGTTATTCAACAAATTATTATTAATGATATATTTTTAATTATATAAGACCTATTAAAATTAATTTGTATATAATACCATAGTAAAGCCTAATTTGGACCATTAAACCTAAAAAATATTTGAGACCATGTAACCATCCCCATGTTTCCCTATTCATAATATAATATGATAGCAATTATATTATATTCTTAGAAAAAATTCACACGATAATATAATAAAAATTAATTATTAATCAAAACACTACTTTTCATATAAGTTACAATTATATTGTGATTCGTAATAATTTCAGCAAGCTCAGTTAAATAAGTGTTTTGATCGATAAGAATAACACTCGTGCATTTAATCATATCCCTCATTTAATTATTAAATATCAAGTTATTAATTTCTTTTAATACATTAAGTAAAATATTTGTACATTGGACTTTTTTTAAAAACCTAGGGGGAGCAATAGAATTTTATAAAAACTTATAGAGGGTTATAAGAATTTTTTAAAAAATGTGAGGGGATCATGACCCTCTAGGCCTACACATTGTTCTGTTACCGCGTCCCACCACCCCTACCCCCTACCCACTACCAACATAGCCACCATTGCCCTACAATCGCCACTACAAGTCCCGCCTCCTTTGTCATCACCTCGATCAATACCTCAGCACGGGCGAATCAATGGTGGTGCAATAGCAATAGAGAAAACAATGGTTGGTGGTGGTGCGGCAACAAGAAAATATGGCCTTTTTCTATAATGTTAATGAATTTATCTTATCATATCCTGTTTATTATGCCTGTTTGGAGCTGACTTTTTTGAGTGCGAAACATAAATTTAAAAAATGAAATTAAAAAAAAATTAAAACCATTTAGAGTGTTTCAGAAAAGACCGACTTTTTCTTAAAAGTTTTTGAATAAACTTCATTTTTCAACGTTTTCTTAGCACTGACAAAAATTATTTTTGTCCAAAAAAGTGATGGCAAAATCGCCCAATAAACTCAAGTTCAAATGGACCAAATATTTTTTTTTTTAAATAAAAAAAATTGAGATTTTAAGGTACCTCCAAACAGACCTAGTGAGCAAGTTGTGGAAAAACAAAAATGAGAGTAAATTACATCCAACTCGTTATTGGCATGCCAAATCCATCTGGGTGTCGGTACTGTACTACTTTAAAAAAGTTGTTCATTCATTTTCCTTCTCTTCAAAAGCTATTTATTACAAAAAGCCACACAACCCTTTGTGGTAGAACCTTTCTTACTTGATGTGTAGACAAGAGAATTAAGTTTAACTCTTCCAAGCAAATGGACCCCATGGAAACAACTTCTCAGCTGGCATCCAGAGGGCTTCCAAGATTTGAGACAAAGAAAAGTATTCCTTCAATTGCAAAACGACAGTCCAGCTAGATGCTAATTCGATCAAGGACCTGTCATAGATGCCAAGGTTGAAACAAACTATCCTTGGATACTGTTCAAATTTAATGATACATCAGAGAGAATGATCATCACAAAAAGACGGTAGCTAGGTACCCGGAGAAATTGAACTTTTTGAGAGAGAGCAATCAATCTTGTTTCGCCCGATTCTACATGAAATTCAGCTGGGTCAACTCGGGCATTCAACTCTATTGCGACGACATCCTCCAGCTGAGCTTGCTCCTTCTTTTCCTGAGGAAAAAAAAAGCAATTATTTGAGGCATATAAACAATAACGATGATGAGGATTTTAACTACTGTTTGGTAGGTACAATTATGCCTACTATGCTTCAACTGCAATTTACAATAAACACACAACCACCAGTTTGGTTGCTAAAGCCATTTTGAGAACAGGTTTAGTTGTTATTTGGGAGAACATTTGGTTGGCAATAAGTGAATGATGAAGAACATCTGTCAAACACATCACTTATAGTCCCAACTTTCTGTTCTTTACAATCACCTAAGAGATAAGATAAAATATAATGAAATGGGAGCAATTTCAAACAAAATAAATGATCGCTATGACTAACAACACTTTCATCACAGAAAAATTGAAAACACTCATCTTGGACCCTATAACGGTAGGTTTATACTCAAGTTCAGTTGTAAAAACAATGCCTTACATTTCAAAAACTTGATTTAAACCACATGTTGAGGCCATATCTTCTATCATCCTAAATTAAAAGGCTTGACGACATATTGAGCTTACTATCAAGTATCGACTGCAAAAGGTTATACTAAATTGGCGGACTTCCCTCGCAATGAAAAGCAATTACAAATTAAATTATGCATGTCATACACTGGCTCTCTGGTGCTATTATATGGTCTACCGTGCAGAATAGATCGATCACTTCATTTCTAGGACTAGCGATATCGATTACAACGTCAAGAGTTGTCTACGCATCAACCTAGAGGGTAGATATAAAATCTAGTTGCAGAGAAGAGAAGGATGGAGGATGAAGAAATAATGTGTGCTGTAGATTGTTTAATACTTTGAAATTTTTGATATACGGCTGGTAGTGCGTGGTGCCTTGGATTTTCCTGACATTTCACTTCACCAACATAAAGCTCAAAACTTCATATCTTGTGCTTTTTAAATTTCAGGGTGAAGAGACACCGAATCTGGAACAAAACCTACTGACCATCAAAAATAATAATAAAGAGAGAAAAAGAAAAAGGCTCAGGTCAGAATTCACAACGCATAAGAAAGCTCACACAGGTTTGAATTCCAATAAAAAATTGTGAAGTTAAACAATAGTTGATTTTAGACCAATAGCAATACAACTGCAAATTGATGGCATTAGAGCTTGCAACAGCAGTCATTTCTAAAATTTTTATTTAACAGATTGGGCTGAACAAGCTTCAGCAGAAAACCCAAGCATATAATTATATCTATCACCAAGCTTAACAGGAATAGCTGAAAATAGCAAATGAATCAGCTGGTGAAAATGCCTTGGATTTTCACCTAAATGATGTGTGCATGTAGACACGATTCTTATAGAAATAAAAAATAGAAAACTCAATGCCCACCCCCCCCCACTTTTTTTTTGAGCTTGAAACTCAATTCTGTTGGTTTTTTTATATCAATATGAATTTCGGGATCTATAGAAAGAATCAAGAAAGAGCATTATGGGCATATCTTAAGAAAAACACGTAGTAATCTGTTTTTTTAGCATTTCGAAGAAATAATTGATTGAGCCATTGACAGGAGTTCTATGGGCACTTCTTCAGATTTCGAAAAGACAGAAGTGGACTGACAATGACACTGATCCAAAATCTCAATTTTCTGAGCCAAAAATCGGCAATTCACTTCACCAATAATCCCCACAAGAACAAATACCATCCTTGAAGTGATGGAAACGGTTGGAATCCCTCACAATAATCTCCCTATCAGTAATCTTCGATATTAATTTAGTTGCATTGTGGCAATCCCCACAAACCCGCAAGTTCTTAAAGATCCGAATAGGACTCTTAGGAGGAGTGCTGATGATTCCATATGCAATAGCCAATCTTTCACTATGACTTGTCAGGATGTGCTCCTTCTCATCCTCCTCAACATCCTGCAACACAAAGCTATAGTCTGGAATATAACCGAGGCTCTTAATTTTAGCCGTTAAAATTTCCAACTCCATATATATTGCCTCGTGTTGTGGATGAGATTGATTCCCTGTATAAAATACTTCAATCCTATTGTTCAGTTCAATTGAGCTCCAACCAGGAGTCTTCTTCAAACCCCTGCCTCTAGCAAATGATCTCACTTCATTTACCCCCTCCCATTTACCGACATTCGCATAAATATTCGACAACAAAACATAGTAACCTACATTCTCCGAATCAACCTCAAACAAGCGTTCTGAAGCCAATTTACCCAACTCAGCATTTCCATGGATTCTACAAGCACCAAGTAGAGCACCCCAAACTGAAGCATCAGGCTTTAAAGGCATACTCCTTATAAAATTGTATGCTATTTCCAAATTACCAGCCCGGCCAAGTAAGTCAACCATGCAGCCATAGTGCTTCAAACTAGGCTTGATCCCACACTCTTCCTGCATTACATGAAAGCACCACCAACCCTGATCAACTAATCCCGAATGGCTACAAGCTGACAATAGGGATACAAAGGTTACATGATCCGGCTCCACCCCCTCATCCAGCATATACCTAAATAGTTGCAGAGATGTCTCGCCATGCCCATGAATCCCATGACATGATATGATGGCATTCCAAGGAACTGAACTCGTCCTGGGCACTTCGTAGAATAAGGACATTGCATCATTCAGTCTCCCACATTTTCCATACAAATCAACGAGGCAGGTACCCACAAAGACATCCAAATGGAGACCTACTTTAAACACCCGACCATGAGTTTTCATTCCTTGTTGCACAGCTCCAACATGAGCATACGCAGGTAAAATGCTCACCCAAGTCCCCTGGTTTGGTATTATGTCCTTACACTTTTGCATCATGCAGTATACTTCAATAGCTTCACTTGCAAGACCATTCTGTGCATAGCCTGTGACCATTGTATTCCACGAAATAACATCTTTAAATTGGAGGTCTTCAAAAACATTACACGCAGAATCAATAATGCCCAATTTTGAATACATATCCACAACAGCATTTCCAATGACAACATCTTCCATAATCCAACACTTCCTCAGGACGAATCCATGGACAGACCTGCTATTATGAAAATCCCCAGTCTGACCAACACTGGAAGCTAAGCTCACCAGCGTTAACAGATCAGGCTGAACTCCATTCAGTTGCATCCTGCCAAAGAACTGAAATGCTGTAATTGGATCACCATTCTGCTCATATGCAGAAATTATCGAGTTCCATGACACCAGATCCCTAAGCACCATATGATCAAAAACCACCTGTGCATGCCCCAAATTGCCAAATTTGGCATACATGTTAATCAAAGCATTTGACACAAACACATCAAACTCCAGGCCATGCTTTATGGCATACAAATGTATCAACATTCCACGCAACATATCATCCATTTGTGCACATATAGGAAGAATAGTTGAAACAGTTACTGAATCCATCTTAACCCCCTCCAATCTCATCTCATCCAAGACACTCAATGCCTCCACAGCATTTCCATGTTGACAAAACCCAGAAATCACAGCATTCCAACAACCCATATCCCTGAACGGCATATCTGTAAAAATCTTGTGGGCAACAGCAAAGGAGCCAAACCGGCAATACATATGCACCAGGGAAGCAGCCACAAACACATCCCATTCGAAACCCAGTTTGGAAATCCAGCAATGTATCCTTCTGCCATCAATTACATTGCCACAAGCTTTTAACACGGGTGGAAAAGTGTAAAAATCAGGCCGAACTTCAGAGGTCGATAACATTTCATCTAAAAACTTCACAGATTCGTGGAAATGCCCATTGCGAACATAAGCAGATAACATTGAATTCCACGTATATGCATCCTTTTCGCGGATCTGACTAAAAGTTTGGCGTGACAAAGAAACATCACCCAGATGGGCATAAAGATTGACAAGTCTAGTGGCAATGAAGATACTGTGAGCCTTCCCCGCAACAATAAGAAGGGCGTGAAGGTTCTTAGCCTGTTGGGTTTTGGTGCATGAGTTGAATAAAATCTCGAAATCGATCTCTTTGTTCTCGTTCTCAATTCCATTACATGAAAGTTGTGCACAAGTCGCAGTGATGGAATACAATTCTAACCTGGTTCGAAACGATGGCAGAGACTTTGGTAAATGCCTACCTTTGTAGGTCGGCAGCAATCTGACCACAAATTAAAAACTAAATCAGTAAAAAAATCGCAAAAAGAATGTAGAAACCACTGCTATTGAACGGAATGAACTGAAGTTTAATAAAAATGGTTCAAAATCGGAGAACATTCCCATCTATCTTATATTGTATGGGAATTAATGACTGAAGAAGAAGACGAGGATGAGATGTACCTGAACATACATGTAGTCTCACTGCAATATCAGGTGATAGATGAAGATCAATAGCTTGTACCTGCGAAGATGACAAGTAGAGAAGGTAATTGTTTGAAGGGAGGGTTTAGGGGTTGGAGTTTTAGAGGTTTTAGAGTGAGAATTATCCGAATGGTGAGTAATCGGTAACCCGATGTGGATCGTATGTTTGAATGGGTTAGAGATGTACAAATGATGACTTGTATTGGGCCTGTAGGGAAGAAGTTGGGCCAGTCTCGTTTAAGGCAAAGCATTGCTAACTAATCCTTTTTCTTCGGGTTTTTTTTTTGTAAGCCGGTATCTTATAATAAGATTTCAAGCTCCAAAAATAAGAGATGTTTTATTACAATTAGTGAAAACTAGTAAAGATCCTAAAACAAGAAATGAACTTAATTGTTTAGCAACATACAAGATTGAGAATTTTGAGTTTTTATTGGGCATGACTATTTGGTATGATATTTTATTTTCTGTCAACTTAGTAAATATTTACAATTAAAAGACATGCATATTGATATTCTATAGATCAATTAAAATGTCTCATTTATTTTTTTAAAAAAATATAGGAAAAGTGGATTTACAAATGGTATGATTTCATCTAAAGAAATTACATGTGAAACGGGTATAGAAGTTATATTTCGTGAAAAACGTAAAGTTCGTAAAAAAAATAATTTGATGTAAATGTTAATGATGAGGTAACACAATCTATTAAAGAATCTTTTAGAATTGATTATTTTAAATATATAATTGATCAAGTTATTTATTCACTAAGAGTAGATTTGAACAATTACAAAAGAACGAAAATATTTTTAATTTAAAAAAAATTAGATTTTTTTCTAAATGTATGCATTGTTTATAGAATATTATTAATATTCTTATAACAGTTGCTTCTGCAGAAATAAGTTTTTCAAAATTAAAATTGATAAAATCTTACTTAAGATCGACTTTATCACAAAAAAGATTAACTGAATTAGCGATATTATCAATTGAAAAATATATAATAGCAAAAATTGAATATAAAAACTTAATTAATACTTTTGTAACTCAAAAAGTAAAAAATATTAATTTTAAATAAAAAATATTAATACTAAACATAGAAAGCCTCATTTAAAAGTATCGTTTTAGGTTCCAAATTGTCTTGATCCACCCTTGACTTTGTATTGTTATTTATGATGTAACACTATCATTCATTAAAAATATATATATATGGATGTCATATTAGGTGATGTGTACTATTTATATTGTATATGAATCAATGAATGTAATTTCACAACTTTTTATCAATGATTGAAGTGTTGACGAAGGTGTTAACACTATCATGTATCACTGTAATATTACATTACAGATGATGATGACCCCAGCTTCAAAAAAGGACATTAGTTTTGTTTAGATCTTGAGTTGTTTATTGATGATTTAAACATTCAAATTAAAAAAAAAAAAAAAAAAATCTTCCTGACTAGGAAACTACCTATCAATAAAACTAAATCTCTATATAAAAAACAAATGTCCAAATACAAACATCATAAAAATAGGAAAAAAGTATTATAATAAAGAGAAGAATAAAAAATTTATCATTGTATATCTCTCTACAATATATTTCAATCTAGTGGTACTTATTTACAACACATTTTTTTTCAATATTATTTCTCATAAAAAAAAATCCTCCAAAAGGTACCTACTTACAATTTTTTAATTTTTTTTTCTTATTTTCACCGCGTGAAAAGGTTTCGAGGAGGCAATTGGGATGAAACTCTTGCTTTAAAAAATTAAAATCAATCTAACCTCTATTATTGTTTTCAAAATATTTCAGCAGAATTTTATCTGAAAATAAGAATCCAATGAAATCTCAATCTGTCTACAGTGACATTAATTTACATAGCAAAATTTTCAACTAAATACTCAATTAAATACTTAGCAGACCATGCCGCAACAAAATACAACACTACCCTCAAAGTTGACCATAAACCATTTAAAGTAAGCCATTTGACAACCCATCAATGCAAATAAAAATGACCCAGATTAACACCCAACTTCGTGACATTACATTCAGATTTAAAAATTATATTTAATAATCACAATTATTGAATAGGTAGTATGTCTTAACAAATGTCGGGAATCACAGTAAAATCAATAGTTGTAATTATCAAATCTAATTTTTAAGTTTAAATATCATTTCTCTTAACAAAGTGTTTGAATTTGATTGTGAGTAATGTGCTAGTTGAGAAATCAAATAACTCTTCATTCAATGAGTAATTACAACAAGGACTTAATAAATTAAAAAAAAAAAAAAAGGATATTTCAACAAACAGGCAATTTGATTAAGTATTTTAACAAATAAATGATTTGAATTCGAGATGGGCCTGTGCATTCAAGGAACGATTTTCTACAAAATACCCAAATTAACATTAACAAAAAAAATACTAACAATTGGTAGAGGTGTCAAATACCCAATTTATAGAAAATATCGCCCAAATTAATGAAATAAAATTAACACCCAAATTAACAAGGACCTCATAGAAATCCTTAAACAAAATGTGTGTGTGTGTGTGTGTGCGAAGGCGAGGAGAGAGAGATAAGGAGGTACCTGGTCCGTTAGATGTTGGTTGATGGGCGTATTGGTTGAGCCATGACAGGGGAATGAGAGGTGATAAGTCTTCTGGGAGAGAGATAAGAGAAAAAATATTTATTGTAACGATGATATCGTATCAATATTATCAAATTATATTTTCAACTAATATTATGCAGACAAATAAGAAAGTTAACCCCACATAAATTAATAACAATCCCGTCCATATAAATAGCTAACAACCTACTATTCTTTCATGTAGTAAATAATTACTCAAATAGAATTCATTTTATTCATTTAGAGTTTTATTATTGAGTTATATTATTTTGATTTAAAAATTTAACCTAATGATATGTCTTTATTAGAATTATTGGATCAATAACAAGTTCTAATATTTGATGGGGTCCACAATTAATCTAAAGGATATAATAAATTAAGTTATCAAATTAGATCAGTAAATTAAGTCACAACAGCATTACCCTTTGTTATTAGTTGAGGATACCATGTCATCAATATTTACATAATATCACCGTTATATTAAATATTCTCTCGTGAGACTAGTCTTCTAGAAGACAAAGAGTAGGGGTGTGGTTTGGTTTGGGTGACGTGTAAGAGTTGAGAGTCGTGTGATGGGTTTTGTAATTTGGGCAGGGTTTTTTTTTTTTTGGTGAAATGCCTTTTGGGTCATTAAATTAACTTTAAAAAAATTTGATGAAATTTGAACAACTTGGTTAAAATTAGATCAAATTTGAATCGTTCTTTTAATAAGTTAATTTTTGGTATTCAAAAACTACTCAATCTTATTATTATTATAGACTAGCCTAATTGATAACAGATACACTCAAAAACATTTACGCACATTCGGCTCAACCTAACTAAACAAAATTTTAGCTTGATTATTTGGAGTTTAGGCATCGCCTATATAAATTTACTTACAATTTTTTAATTGTTAAGTGAATAGCACAAGGTGATGATCCCATGAAAAAAAAAAAGGGTATTTCTTGAGTTGATGTGAGCTAAATAGGTTTGAAAATTTGACTTAAAATTTTAATCAAACTACTATGCAACATGCAAATGTTTCATTCATATTGTTTTTTTGCTCTCTTCTCCGTCACATAAAAATAGCTCACAATCTGCCTAATCGCTATCCAAGTAATGCCAAAAAAAGGAGAGAATAAGAAGTTTTAAAACAGTTTGCAATTCCCACCTTTGTGAGACATGAGCACGGCCAGTCGATTCAAAAATGATACAAACCTATATTCTGAACAATTAGAAAAAAAAAATAGAGGAAGTGTTGATTTTCTTGATATTTTTGTCATATTTGGAAAAAAAACAAAGATGAAAATTTTCAAATTAAGGGGAAAAAAAATTCAACTTGGATATTTCTCATTGTTTGGAATAAAGAAAAATTTCTTAATCAATTAGATCGAAAGTAAATTTCATTAAATTTTAAAATTCATAATTAATTTAATGATTATAATAAATTATGTATATCATTGCTCTTGCATAATTCATATCAAATTTTTCACAACAAATTAATAGGGCAGGCACATGCAGTCACTTTCCACGCACATGCAGTCACTTTCCATGCCCAACCACCTATTTGGCTGCACGTGGCGCACTCTCATCCCTTAAAAAATATTCAATACAATTATATAATGGTAACGTCATGTCTTCGTCGCGTCGCTCCATAATAATACCATTAAATAAAAAAAATATATATTATATAATCTAAATTTATAACTCAAATTTATATTTCAAATGAAAGGAGATCATTGAATCAATTGAATCAGTGGATCCTATAAACTTTATTAAATGAGACCCACTTATATAATGGTTTCTCTTTATTTTAAATATAGATTTGAGTTATAAATTTGAGTTACATAACATTGCTCAAAATAAAATAAAGTGAGTAAATAGATTTCACATATTTTAATAATAAAAAATGTTATATAATTTAAATAAAATTCAAATATTAAATTTTAAATGCATATCATTCATTGGATTGGATGAGTTTGAGATGAGTGAATTCGGCTAAAAAAATTGATGGAACTCACTAGTTCAATGAATGATATGTATTTGAATTACAACTTTTTATATTTCATTTGAATTTTTATAGCATTGCTCAGCGTTGATTATGTGATATCACTATTGTATATCACTATCTCCAAACACTGAGAATATTCATCGTGATTTATTACCTAGACATGGTTAAGACTAAAAATTGAATCGAGTTTTACAAATTTGAACTGAGTTTGTCTATCTCATTTTTTTAAATAAGTTTACAAAATTGTTCAAGCTTAGTTCGTTTTTGTTTTCGAAACAAACGGAGCCCAAAATAAATTAAACTCGAATTAAGTTCGAATAACTTAATTATTTTACATATAAAAATGAGTTGAACGTTACAAATTCGACTGAGTCTTTTAAACTTATTTTTTTAAATTAACTTAAAAAATTATTTGAGATAAATAAATCGAATCCTATAAAAATCGAATTCAAACTAAACTCGAATAACTCGATTCAATTATCGACCTTTTATATTTATATATATATTATATATATATGATAACACCTTCTAACGTGGAAGGTATCGAATGCGATAATTATGAATATATATTGAAATAGTGAGATCTACCATTTTGGTTAATGACTTTCTATTACCGTTGTATTCTATATTTTCATCAAAACACTACGGTCTGAAAAATCGCATATCATCAGTTGCCACCTAATATGTTGTCGGAAAGTTTCCGCCAACGGACCAGATTCTCCCACCTCGCACGCTCCCATTGGCCAGCTCTCACATCAAGAACAAAGAGACACAATGATTGGTCCACGTTGTGGAAACGGGATAGCTCTAAACTAATAAAAATGATTGGTCCACGTTGCGGAACATCGATAGCTCTAAAATAATAAAATACATTAAAAAATTAAACAAAATATGAGAGAGTAAAGCTTTAAATGAGAGACTCGTGTCGAAGGGGCACAAGACACTTGTCATCTCCGCCAAGCCCTAGCCGGCGAAGAAGAAGGTAACGACAGTCTCTCTCTCTCTCTCTCTCTCTCTCTCTCTCTCTCTTCTTTGTCATTTAAAGGATGAAAGTATCTCTCCGTGGACTTTATTGTCTACCCTAATTTAGGAAATTTTAGTTTTTTTTTTTTTTTGTCTCTTGTTGTAATAAATCGGAAATTGTAAATTTTTTTTCTCTGTTGAAACTTTTTAGATCATCAATTAATGGAAAAAAAATTCAGTAGTATGCAGGCTGAGGCTGTAATTTTTTTTTTTTACTTGGGTTTATCTAATTAGTGTAGTTTATCGTGAAAATAGTGGTAATCATGGGGATAATAGAGTTTGGGCTTATAAATTTCCTTGTAGTTTTGGTTTTTCCTTTTGGTTTATAATTGTTTTTAGATGGAAATGAGCTTTAGAAGAGAGTAAAGAGAGAATTTTTATATGTAATATATGTATTGAATATGTATGGTTGAATGTGTTTGTTATGGACGTTTGAGAATGGCCTTGTGTTTGTTTTGGGTTTCAGTTTCAAAGGCGTTCCACTCGAGATGGAGAAATTCATGTGATTTATAGGCCCCATTTTTCCTTTGAATTTTTATTGATTTATTTTTAATTGATTGGATTTCTTATCCAATATCTTTTGATGCGCACTCAATTTTTTGTTTAATACAAGAGTTTTGTTTATTATCAAAAAAAAGAAGAGAGAATGGCCTTGTGTTCCAAATCTGAAACTAAAGAGAACTACCCAAAAGTGAGTAAGGTAAAATTCCGATTTGTATTGAATTGGATGGGTGTACAGGATACTACTTTGATTCGTTTTGATACTTTTTTTTTCAAGCTAATTCATGTTCTTGTAAATGGGTTTTCTTATTTAGGCCAACATTTAATGTTTTAAGCTTTCTGTAGCTAGCCATAATTGAGTTTGCATATGAGATTCTGAAGGTCTTTATGTTATACTGTGATTTTTCAAATATAGAAGTTTATTCCTGCAGTATGATTTTCATGGTTTCTTGAATTTTAGTTAAAACCAAAAAGAAATAAAAGAAAATTTCACTTTTGTTCTCTAATCGTAAATTCTGTTGGTTTTGTTTTTGGAATATGGGGTTGGACAACTGGAAGATGACAGTGGAGATTTTGTGTGCAGTTGATTTACTTACTATGAGAGTTTGTTCATGTGATGATACTGGATGTTTTTGTTTAATTCACTTAGCTTTCCTTTTCTTGTTTAATAATGTTTCTGGAATGAAGAAAGCAAAGGCAAAGGATATTTAAGACTGTTCATCTGGTTGAGTTGTTTGCCAGATCTACTTCCTGTTGCTTGGATATCTAAGAGAATCAGTTTGGACTTTGGATCAATTGTTACCTCTCCTTTGAGTTCTTGAATGATGGGTTCTTATATGAATTTTAAGAACTTTGGAGACACACCACAGGCAGAAGGCAGTGGGGGTAAGCCAGCAGGGAATTTCTCGCTGGCACGACAGTCTTCCATATACTCTTTAACCTTTGATGAGTTACAAAACACTTTGGGTGGACATGGAAAGGATTTTGGGTCTATGAACATGGAAGACCTTCTGAAAAACATTTGGACGGCCGAAGAGACTCAAGTCATGGCATCCTCCACTGTTGGAGGAGAAGGGGGTATCCCTGGTGGGAATTTGCAAAGACAGGGCTCCTTAACATTGCCAAGGACACTTAGTCAGAAAACTGTTGATGAAGTCTGGAGAGACTTGCTTTACGAAAGCGGTAGTGTAAAGGATGGGAGTGGCAGTGGGATCCCCCACTTGACTCAGAGAGAACCAACTCTAGGAGAAATTACATTGGAGGAGTTCTTATTGAGAGCAGGGGTAGTGAAAGAAGATATTCAACCAATTGCAAGACCAAACAATGCGGGATTTTATGGTGAAATGTCAGGACTGAACAACAACAACAACACCGGTTTCTTTCTAGGATTTCAAGAACCAGTTCGCAACCATGGAGTGTTGGCTAACCAAATTGGGGAGAATAATAATGTGGTTCAGAACCCATCTCCTAATATAGGGCTGAATGTTGGTGGAGTCAGAACTTCTCAGCAACAACTGCAGTCACAACCGAATCAGCACCCACAACCACTCTTCCCCAAGCAACAAACTGTGGCGTTTGCCTCTCCTATGCATTTAAACAACCAGCTTCCTAGCCCAGGAACGAGGAGTCCAATTGTTGCAAGGGCAGATCCTTCTATGAACACTGCTCTAGTCCAAGGTGGTGTCATACAGAGTGGAGCAATGGGCATGTCTGGTATGGTTACTGGGGTTAAGACAATTGCAGGAGGTTCTCCTGCAAACCAGTTATCTCCAGAAGTGATCGCTAAGAGAAATTTAGTTGCATCATCACTATTACCTTCTCCTTATGCTTTTAGTGAAGGTTTACGAGGAAGGAAAAGCAGTAACAATTTTGAGAAAGTGGTAGAGAGAAGGCGTAGGAGAATGATTAAAAACAGAGAGTCTGCTGCAAGGTCACGAGCTCGGAAGCAGGTGATTTTGTTGAAACAGCTTGCATATGTTTGTCTAGTCTTGTTTTTTGGTGTGGAAATATAGACCATATTGGGAAACAACATATTGCTCTAAGGAAAAATTGATATGGCCAATTAGTAAAACAGAGTAGGATAAGTATAAACGTATAGATAGCATTTTTTTTTCTTTTAAATTCTGAATAGAAAATTTAATGGAGCTATGTTATTGCCCTCACATACATGTATTATGCATAGATTATATGACATATAAATCATCCTAACCAAAATACATAAGTAAATAACTAGGTACAGAGCATGCATCTATTACAAAGCATAACATAGAGTCATGTATGATATTGAATTCGATGAAGATGTTGAAAATGATGTTCTGCTGTCAACTTGCAAGTTTGTTAATGTGACCTGTTTGGGATATCTAAAGGTCCCATAGACAACTATATCACCCAATGTAGCTTGGCCTGTTGATAAGAGTTGTTTTTCTTAATGTATGATGGATGATGCACTGATGTTAATGCTCCTTCTGGATTTTTTTAGGCCTACACTGTAGAATTGGAAGAAGAAATTGCAAAACTTAAGGAAATTAACCAAGAGTTGCAGAAGAAACAGGTGTGTTACTAATAGCAGTAGTCCTAGTGTTCCTAAAATGTCATTGCAAAATTTTGGGTTATGATGAACATTGGTTTATTACAGGAAGAATATGCAGAGAAGCGAAAAAATCAGGTGCGTACTTAATTTGATTTTATATTCAGATTCTATTATTTATTTTAGTTCTCTTGGTTTTTAGTTTGGGTTAAGGGGAGGGAGGTGGGGGTGAGCAGGGGCAGAACTACAGTGGGGCACTGCAGGGTGACTTTGTATTTTAGGCAATACCTGGGATTCTTTCATTCAGGAAACATGTGCCATCATTTGCATTTCGTATACTTTCAACTCCTGTTGCAAGGTTAGTGGGCCCATACATCGAGTTTAAAGATTACAGAGCTAACATGAACAGATCTTAGTCATGTATTTCTTAATCCTTGGTTTCAAATGAAACCCAAAAAAAAATAAAAATGAAACAAAAGTCTTATTAAACTCTAAACAAATATGAACGTACAACCAAGTTAGGGGTGTGCTAAAAGAGTCTAATTTCACACTCAAATCTCTTTCCTCCAAGGGCATCAAAAAAAAATTATTTGGATAAATTTGAGAAAATATTTGTAGTTTTTACAATTTTAGATATGATCCACAAACATGACAGAGAATTAACAGAGAGTTTTAATCTTAATGGATTTGGATAATGAATGGGTGCACTCATTAGCCTCAATTAAATGCTTCAACACGAATCTGGATAAACTAAATACGAATTTGATAAAAACAACTTGTATACGATACGAACTTGAGAGGACATGAACACGACTACACACAGTTATAAATATGTCTTCCTTTAGATTTTCCATTTGTGGGTATGATCCCCTTTCTCTTTGTTCTCTCTCTTCTGTCTTCCCCCTCTTATTTTTTCTCACTTCGTTTTCAAGTTCAATTAACGTTTTTATCTAGTCAATTGATTGGATAATTTAAAGGTAAATGAAAGCTTAGGAGATTCTATTGCAACTATTGTTAGAGATAACGCATTAACAATTCTTCGATTTTAACAACTTTTGTGATTTTTTTGTGCAGTCATTGTGGTTTCTATTATTGCCACCCATTTAAATTTTTTTGCTGTAGTAGATGATTGAGTTTTGATCATTTGAATTTGAACTGAAATACGACAATTCAATTGGTTGCATATCAATCTTTTTGAAATATTACATGCAATGATCGATCTTTGAAAATTGGATAGTGAAGACATAAAGGAGTTGGATTATGCAAAAAGAGGTTATTCCAATGGTCTTGAATCAACTCGGCATTTGTGGATATTTTTACAATGCTTGTCTATATGGATAGTTTTACAATGCTTGTCTGTGTGGATAGTTTTACATTGCTTGTCTATATGGACTGGTAATGAAATTATAAATATAAAAATGTATCATTGACGATTGTATTTGCGAAAATAATGTTGGCATTATGATTTTAAGTTATCACTGAGTTTTAGGTTGCCTCCACTATAAACAAAGTCTGGCTACTCCTCTGGGAGTGAGCATAGTTAGATTTGATAGTGATCAAATCTTTGATAATTTTGAACATCACATCTGAAAACTTTTAGCCATGTCTATGTTTACTTGTGATGAACTTGTTGACTATTATTGTTAGGCTAGACCATTTTAGCTACCACAGAGGGTGTTAAGTTACTGGTCATCTCTTTTGTTTGTTTCACAGATCAAGGAGAAGATGATTATTCCATGGGGAGGTAAACAACGTGGCCTGAGGAGAACATTTACGGGACCTTGGTAAAACAAATGGTGGTGAGAGTATGGAAACACCTGGCGCTTGCTAAAATCCGATCAAAATCTTGTTCCACACATCATAGTTAGGTGCATGTATAGAAGAAGCAAAGGGTGTCCTGCTGTAATATATGAACCTGGGATTAGATGAATCTTATATAGATTAAGTTTTTCTATTTGTGTGATATATGTTTGCTTCTTGGTTTAGTGCTGATGCAGGGTATTGGCACTTGTGGAACTTGTCTAATTTCAGGAGTATTTATGACCTTAGCATCTTTGAATGGCTATGGCATACTCTTTGCATCCTTCTTGTGGCTTGGGTACCCTTTTTCGTTTTTGTTTGCTTGTTTACGTTTGCTTTATATCTAATTTCAGCTTCATAAATCCCAAAAAGGTCTCAGTCACACTGCCACCCGAGCGGGTGATTTAGTGGTAAACCATACTCATTTAAAGTCATCATAATTTTCATGTAATTATCAAGTAGGATTCGATTTATGGGAATAACACAATTTGTTACTTGACTTTGATGGTAATATGATGACAAACTGCCCTTCGGAGTTAGTAGTTACAGTTCAAACCAAACATTCCACAATGAAAGACCGGGACTCTCATGGTCACCTACTGTTTTGTATGTAGGGCAAATTTCGTTGCCCCTTATTCCCTGCGGGCGCCTCCCCCGGGGAGGAGGGAGGTGGGACAGAAGTCTTGCTAAAGTAATGAAGCAAATGTAAAACAAGAACGAACAAACAGTCAGAATAAGAACTGAAAATTTGAATTTTTAGGCGCAATAATGTGACAGTAGCAGTATAACCCCACAATAATCTACTCTGTTAACACTGCAAGAATTTTGGCAAACCACAACTGTTTATGTTAATATATTTCTTTTTATCACGATAGTATACATCAGAATGTTCGCAAAGCAACATGAAACTGCAAAAGTGATCTATATAGATCAATTGTCGCATGGCAATAATGGTAAATGGGACCACAACTTAATCTCTATCAAGAATGCTATTTGTAGAGTTCAGAAGAAAAAATACTTGCTCTCTGCCAGTCACCGAGGGTCATTGAGCTGAGAAACTTTGCATCATCTCGGGCATGCTGGAAGAGGAAAACGATAGACACAGTAGATCTTATATCCTTGACATTTAGTCAGTGCCCCTCAGCTGCAATCCTGAACAGAAGCAACAGAAGATAAGACCTGGAAACAGTAACAGGTATGATCTTGAAGACGCGTTCTGTCAAGCATTTAAATGCCCACCACAGTTGTAAAGCCAGACCAAATTCCACAAGGGTTGATTGCCACTTAACATTGGGAATAAAAAACACACAACCAACGTTGCCTGTACATGATAAAAGCCACAGAGACTCCTTCTGATGACTGTTTGGGTCCAGGAAATAATTCCAATTTTCATGGACTCATGCTTATGGGATCTATTAAAGACTGGACCTTACGTATCTCTAGCTCCTGGGGTACTCAAAAACAAGGCCTTCTGCTACACTCCTCGCCCTAGCATAACCAAAAAGCTTGCTCACAATATCCAATGCAAAATCTATCGCTGTGGCAAGTCCCCTGCTTGTGATCAGTTTACCGTCAATAACAACCCGGGAACCTTTGACGTCTTCATTGTTGAGAAAGCTTATAACTGAGGGATGAGCAGTGGCTCTCTTATCCTGCTTTTGAAAAAGAACCATCAGTTTAACATATCATCACCAAGAGGGCACAGAGAAGTCAACTTGTTCAACTTACCTTGAGCAAGCCTTGTCTATAAAGGATTGTCAATGAAGAGCAAATTGCTCCGTATATTCTTCCAGCTGATTCTTGGTCTTTAAGCAACTTCTTCAGAACCCTAGACTTGTGCAGCCGCTCGGCCCCGATAATTCCTCCCTGAAAACTTGGGACCAAGAAGCTCTTGAGAACAATGAGGTAGAACCAAAAGATATCATCTTTACATATATTAGTTCTTGACTTCCAAAACAGGGGCTAGAAAAGTAAAGCCCATTCAACTCCATGGTAACAGTATAATGCACTCAAATATAATCAGCATAAAAGGATAGAGAAAAACATATTCATGGTAACAGAGAAGCAGGAATGGTACACAATAATACAACAGTAGTAATGCCTTGACCAGTTAACCACTAGCTGAGTGGATATAGTAGCAAAAGGCTGTGGTTAAATTTACCACGGAAGCCCGTAAAATGTTCAAATTTATGAGGTTCAATTTTGATCTCAGGCCACCCAAATATAGTTTTAATTAAACCAAGGTCATATCTCAACCAATGGAAGTTCAAAATATAATGACGAGTCCTCAATCTAATCATATATGTAAGCTAATTTCTTTGTCTCACCGGAAGGATGATCAAATCATATATTGACTCGGCAGCACAACCAATTAACTTGTCTGCAACGATTCTTGTGCCTCCGGATGCCAATATCTGTAAGGATTTTTCAACTGAAGCAACAACAACATCCACTTTTGCTCGCCTCAAAATATCTACAATTACAACCACTTCAATCTCTTCAGAACCATTTGCAACTGGAATAAGTACCTGCGACATTAAAGTAGATAGAATACTTAAGAGCTTCCCTTTAATGAAGAGAGGGAGAGCCGCAAAAACAAGCAATGGCTGAGAAAGTGTCGGATAATGGGAAGTCCGGTAATTGGTTTCCATAAGTATAACATACAAGCAGAGGAAAAAATGATCGGCGCAAGTATTTGCAAACAAAACCGAACAAAACAAGGACACAAATATCAGTTCTACATTTTATTCATAAAACCATTATGAAAAAATAATCTTTGGAAAGATACTCCTGAGAAGATACAATTTTGTACAAAACACTCAGCTCCCAAATTGAGCTTCCTATCCTATTTTTATCAAGTTAGCAACAGCAGGAATGCATCTGAGAAGGAATGCATGACAAGATTACTGACTCAGGAACAGCAAGTCCCATTCAACTAACAGATACTCTCTAGTCGAAAACAAACACAGAATACTAATGGCTTTTTCTACTTCACCTCTCTATGAAATAACACAAAATAGAAGGAAACATTGAAGATCAAGCTTCAAATTACAATCAGAAAGATGAATGATGGTACTGGCTAAATTTAGTAGCCCTTATGGGTAAACATGCATTCTCATTGACTACAAAGTAGAAACCAAGAATGATGATGGGCCGTTGTAACACAGCACTTCTCTTTTAGCATCAAGATTGCCGGAAAAGTGACATCCGTGAGGTTATGAAGATCCTAATCACTTTTGGTGTAAATAAAAGAACACTCAAACCTAAACTACATTTTTAGGGAGAGAATTAGCTTAAGTTAATTAATTTCAAAAATTAATGATGTGGCAGCTGCAGTACCAGTAAAAATCCGGAGGACTGCATTAAGACTATCAAGGTTGATTTGATATCCAGGAATGGTTTACAAGAACTTACCTGTCAGCTGTGAATGTATAAATTTAATAGGTAATCCATACTTTGCTAAGCAGAAAACGGTCTACTTACAAGAGGGATATGATTCACAGACCACTCAACTGCATTGAATTCTTCTTTTCTGGGAGCATCATCATCAACACCATGCATGAGCTAATGCAAAAGGAAAAAAGGTTTGTCAGCTCATACGGATTACCCGCAGAACAAATGAAAGATAATTACATAACATGAACTGTGAAACAGAATGCACTGGATTGGCTCTCTATATTCTCATATTAAAATATAGCATGGCCTCAGGGCATTTATGTTAATGTTCTTTAACCTCTCCTTTTCACCTTTACTTGTGCCTTGTTCTTGGGAATCAAACTCTTCAAAATGGGGGTAAGACTTCATACCACTGACCTCTCCCAGCCCCCGATATAGTCTGGAGCCTTGTGCACTAGGTACAGCCTTTCATCTGTGTCTGTTCAGCGATAGATTACAAGATAGATTCTACAGTCAAGGGGCATACTTTCTCTTTTTAATGGTGCCTCTACATGACAATAATGATTGATAGCCAAACTTACACGTTTGGATAGATTTTCTATATCTCTCTTTCGGGTAAGACATCAAATTTAAGACACACAATATATTTCCAACTTCAGGTCAACAAATTTTACTCGGTAGATAGTTTTAAGAAGACTATTTAATCAAATGAAGTAAATAGGAGAACTGGTCCTTAGAAACTTTACAAGAATAAGATTTACCATTAAGTTCTTATCATAAGAGAATCCAGAAAAGAAGGATATGGTTAGGCATTGTTTCACATGCACTGCTACCTCGTGGCAATGCATGTGCTTCACTTGGAACCAAACAATTGTAAAAAAAAATTGCCTCTTAGTAATGAGGGGGCAACTTAATCATAGTAGCTTTGGGAGGAAATGACTTCCTTATAAGCAATCAAAGTATTATTATGACATTGTATATCTTTCTAGACAGGATGCAGCTACAACGGGCAATAGAAAAACGGATTGGAAAATGATGATATTCTCCACATCTCACCAGTAGTTTTCCAACCTCCATGGCAACAGATTCCCCAAAGAGCTGTCCCACTAACGATGTAGCAAACTCAAAAGAAGTACCAGGGCCACGGCTTGTTGTGAGCTCTCCTGAGACTTGAATGTTTGTTTTGACAGCCCAGAAGGTTGGAAGCTTGTCTATAAACGCAGGGTGACAAGTGGTCTTTCCAGACAAAACAAAACCCAATAAGCAAGCCCAATATTCATGAAGTATAAATATTGTATGAATTTATCAATATTTGACATAAGATACTAAAACAATGCAAGATACCTGTTTCCTCTTGAGAAGGCCCCATGGCAAAAGTGCGACCGCAGGAGCAGCACATATAGCCCCATATGGCCTTTTCTCTTCAGCTTGTTTACTTGTAATTTTTTTGAGAATTTCAGAGTCTCTTAATCGTGCTGAGCCAGGCATTCCTCCCTATACATATGTGTAACATCAGCATTGTAAAAAAAAACTTTCAAGCCAAGTGCAAGTGAATAGACCAATACCAAAAAGAAAAACGAAAAGGTGAAAGGAAATATGAATGTAAGAAGTAAGAACAAAGGGTAATTGACTAGGACCTGAGAAATCATTCAGTAACAGAACAGCCTGGAATTAAACATACTATCCTGAGACTGATCATATGAAGCTCAGTTGCAGGAGTTATTGGACATTTACAAAAGCTAGTCACACTTATAGATTCAAGTAGGTTTACTGCCAAAATGTTGTGAGTGGCTTTAGATCCACATGTTATTGCTACATACAAAAATGAAAAAATAAAAATAAAAAAAACGGATTTCACAAGTCAAGTAGCCAAGTCTGGGATCAGAGAAAAAGATAAAAACTGTTATCTTTCGGGCTTTAGTATCAGAGAAGGAACGAAAACCGTAGTTACAAGGAGCTTTAACAGGGGCAACGTCATGGAACTCTTTTAATGGGACTCCTAAATGAAACTCATTATCCCTATACAATTCTTCAACAATATTCAAACTATTTTGAAATTTCAAGAACAGTTCTCAGACTTCATTGGGTATAGAACTCATGTAAATATTCTGAGACTGCACTTACCCACATATGATTTTTGTTTAACTGGTTTAATATTTCAGGTTTACAATGCGAATCAATCACAATGCCACATAGAAAATAGGGGATTTAGTACAAACACATCACACAGTTGAGAGTTTGAAGACTGACCGGCAAAGCAACTAGATCAAAAATATCATCGGAACAAGTCGAGATAGACGTATCAGCAACAAGTCTGGTACCTCCAGAAGCTTCAATCTCTAGCTCTGGCTCTACCGACGCCAAGGTCACTTCTGCACCAGCTCGGCGCAATACATCAACCAATATCACAGCTTCCATTTCCTCCGTACCAAATCCAATCGGAACCAAAACCTATAGACCCACAAATTATGCTCATGACCCAAAATTTTTCAAAAAAATTATTGATATTGTTGAGTTTAGTTTGCAATTTTTCCACAAGTTAAAGACACCCAAAACATAAAAGGGATTGAATTTCAAGTTCTCTACGAAAACCAAAGAGATATTGTGAGTGCAACATTTGAAAATACCTTCTTTCGAGGGAGATGGGTGGTAGTATTGGTGGTGGTGGGTGGAGAGAGGGTTTTGGTGGGTATTGAAGAGCGTTTCGGAGTGGGTGTTTTTCGTTGTTGAGTGACGGCATAGATGGAAGGTAAGGATTGAAGAGAGGTGGTTGAGAAGGCCATTGGAGGTTTCGCAAGAGGAAGAGAAAGAAGAGGGGACAGAGACTTCATTGTTTTTCCCTCGTATGTCTGTTCAGTTCACCATTTCCGCGGTAGTCTGTGACTTTTTGGGTTTTACAGTACCGAGCCGGGCCGGACAGTTTAGCCAGGCAAAGTGGGCCTGTGCAACTTGATCTACCTTTCCTAATTTTGTCAGGTTGAGGGTCGGAGTCTACGTCGTTTGTGATTTTTTAGAGGGTAAATTGTTAAAGGTACATTAAATTAAATTTATTTGGTAAAATGTATTTACTAAAAAATATAGGGTTATTAACTCCTTAATTTTGATATTTTTTTGTATTTAAATACACAATTTGAATTTTTCTAATTTTTTTGTGACATTTTTGTCCTCCATTGATCCATATGTATGGTCTTTGGAAAGTGGTATATTAAATATTTCATAATTTTATTGAATAATTTTAGTATTTAATACACCTTGATTCATGTGTATTTGTTAATATATATATACACACACACGTGTGAAGTGTAACATTAAAAGTGTAAAATATAACATTTTTGAAAATGTAAAGTGTAAAATATTATCTTACGTCTCACCTTTCTTAATAGAAAGTGTAAAGTGTTATAGGGTAATATTGAAAGTAACAATAACAATGTAACAAGCTATTTACACAAGGTAAGGAGAGACATTACCTAAAGTGTTACACAAACAGAATATACATGTCTCATCTTACACTAAAAATGTAATTAATTGAGAAATGTGTAAAGCGTTACACTTTCAATGTTA